TGATTTGAAATAGTGCCACAGTGTTTCTACAGAGTGCAGCACAGAAAACTATTTTACTTTTGAATAAGTCCAAATGTATTTAACCCCAATCGCAGCACACCTGTGCACTTAACAACGTTTAAATTCTCCAATGTTAAATATATTAAAACATAAAACCCGTTATCAAAGTATTATAAACAATAAAAGGGATGACTTATTTAAATTTATGACAACAGCTAATTTGCAACCAAAAGGTGAGTGAGCGTAGCGAACGAACATCAACCTGGAGGCGAGTTAGCGTAGCGAACGAGCTAACCTGAAAACAAGTGAGCGCAGCGAACGAGCTCCAACCTGAAGGTGAGTGAGCGTAGCGAATGAACTTCAACCAGGACGTGATTGAGCCATGCGAATACTTATGAAGTTAAACGGGACAAAGCCCGTGGGTACAGCTAGTGTTTAATAAATTAGTGTTCAAGTTCCAACAGCCTTCAGTCAACAATTCAGCTACAGTTTTGCTCCACTTGATGTCATATTAAAAGCAGCTATTGTAATGTCTCACCCGGTCCATAAAGTGTGCATATGCCCTAGTCAGGGTGGTTGCCCATGACCATAGACTGCATAAAGGTTTAGGTAGGTGCTGCAAAGTTAGTAGTTGCACTTTACCACAATTACCGTACATGCCTGGCCTGGTGTTTATTCTTTCCATTTTAAGGCTTCACAGTACTTACACTATTTAAACGTCATGGTACCTATTGCCACCGAGCTATCTCCTTCATAGTATATTTTCGGATTTTATGTCATTGTTGATATTTGTTTCACCATCCATTGAATCTTTGGCAGAGTATTTCAGGATGAGTTTGTTACCTTTTGCTTGCGTTCTTCGCCTGTTTTTTCCTTTGTTTGTCTGTGCACCTGCTACGCCGTTTACACCTTAATGTATTTTGTTGAGATTCCGGAATCGGCTGACGGTTGGGAGAAACGGGGTTTTTTTTTTGTAGCTCGAAGTGCCTGCTAGACAGGGATTTTGTCAATTTGAGTATTTTTCACTGGATTACGTTCATCACCAAACTTGACATCTAATTCACCCTATTCCAATAAATCTGGAAAAACAAATTTTAATAGTCGTGAAGCTATAACCTACCAAAGGTAATTATTCCTGTCACTGTCGTATAGAATAAGATTGAGAATGAGAAGTAGTCCCAGTTCCTCACATTTTCAACAATTGCTTTGCACACAGGTATTATTGTGTGTATGTGTGTAAGGTGATGATAAATGAGAGTGAAGTAAATAAACACGTTTCATCTCCTCTGATCACTAAAAGTATTAACTTAAAATATTAACTGTCTACTTTCGTTTCCCGGACATTATTTTTTGGGAAATAAACCATACAAATACAATAGGTTTTTATAAACTTTTTAGAAAAAAGAAAGTCAATAAGTTAATGAATTATGCACTTAAAAAATAAAACTCCTTATTCACACACTATCAAAAGCTATTTATTAAACAAACTTCCTTCGCTAATAATGCTAAAAAGTTAGACATTTAATAGTGCTGCACCCTGTTGGTACATTTTGTAACCTTTTAATGCTATTGATCATCACAGAATCAATTTGTTTACTTGAAACAGCTGTTAAGATTTAATTCCATTTAAATATGAGTACCATAAGGTTAACATGGGAATCTCCAGAGCCACTGGGACGGAGCCCTTTTGACGGATCTGCCCCAAACTTCACACAAACCAGCTTTGAATAATGCTTAATAATAATGTCTGAAAGTTTCATTACAATCTGTCAAGCGGTTTCGGAGTCCATAGCGTTCAAACACATATATATATACTCATTCAAACTTCTTTTTAGCGAATTTCCCATATAGGGAATAAGCTATTACCGTAGTACTCACGGTAAGACCTGGACCCGGGACCGATTTTTTTTTCGTTTTGAGGTCCCTAGAGGTCAAAAACACCATCCGTTCAAATTCACATATATATATATATATATATATATATATATGTGTCCGTTAGCCCGATAACTCGAGCAAAAATGATCCGATTTTGATGAAATTTGGTACAAACGTGTAAACCTACGTTTATTCGAACGAGTTCGCGAACCAGCATGATCGGACCATGGGAACGGGGGTTTATGGGGGCTTTTATGGGGAAAAAATGGGTTTTTCCCATTTTTGACCCAAAAAACATAAAATTTTGCAATTTCTTTTGAAACTATTTTGTAGAGCTTAAAAAAACAAATAATTTAGTATATTGAAGCGTTATAATGCGCCTAATGGTTACGGAGAAAATTCCAAAAAATTGTAAATTTAAAATTCCCATGTTATTCTTATGGAGAATAAGTAAACTGTTGTAGTTTGCTTGTTTATAAACATATTTTGCCCAAATTTGGAAAATGTTTTTATTTCTTACTAACTATTAACATTTTACATAAAAAAACACTTTTACCCTCCCTGTTGCAGCAAACCTAAGTATGTTTTAAACTGATTCTATTTAAATAGGGAATAAATGTGATAATTTTAAGGAGAGATTTTAGTGTAAATCCATTCAGGGAAATGGAAATTCGCTTAGTCTGCAGGTTTGCTGCGGCGGGGGTATTTTATAAATACGAGCATTTGACATAAAACCACATTAGGACAGGACGAGGTCTGTCGGGCCAGCTAGTAGTAAATAAAATAACCTCGTAGTTCTATAGAGAATTTTTATATTTAACCAGCTGTTAGTTAAAACAAATTATATTGCACTAAAACAAACCGAAGATTACAAAGATTACCTAAAAGAATAATTTGAACATCCTAGTATTTTACTATGTATATTTAATTAATCTGTCATCCTCTTACCGAAGAATTTAACGTATCAATGATCAGCATTACACATAGTATAAATAAGTCAACCCTTATGTGTTTTCATTTTTATCCAAATGCTGAATTTGTGCCACAAACGGTGAATGTTTATAGCTGTTATGTTAAGCAAATTATATCATGCCAAAAGCTAGTTCAGGGTGGCTAGTGAAACCACATTGAAAAATTCCCTGACGATTCCATGATTATTTTAAACTTTCCCTGATCGACAAATTCAAAATTACAATTGTAATACTAACTAATTCTTCAAAAGGACTAATCTTTATCTGACAAATAGCTTATGTTTGTTTAAATGAAAAAATACATAAAATCTATAGATACAGGCTAGCTTATATTCAAACTTTGCAACTTGCCTTAATAAAATTAAACTGAGTTTGATAAGATGATACGCAGTTTATAACAAAATTTAATTTGTACAAAAACACAAAATTTATTTGTACAGACATATTTCTTAGTTTTCACCCACACAGCATACGTACTCTCACCAGATCGACCTTTCCTAACAATTATTATAATTATTTTAAACATTTTAAAATTTTCCCTGACTTATGACAAAATTCCCTGACTTTTCCAGATATTTAATATTCCCTGACATTTCCAGGTTTTCCAGGTCACTAGCCACCCTGTAAGTTTAGAATGTTAGCGTCGGCTGCTAGACTTTTTAAAAATTAAAACTTAATTTCTAAAAACTGGGACCCTAAACTAAAATTATGGCTTCGACATTCCCTAGTTCTCAAAATTATCTTTCTTTCAACACAAAAATCATGAAAATCCGTCAAGTGGTTGATTCACAATCGTGAAATAAAAAACCCCTGTCACGTTTTAATATTATAGATAGATTTTAGTAGAAATCCAGCCAGGTAAATGGAAATTCGCTTAGTCTGCAGGTTTGCTGCGGCGAGGGTATTGTTAATTAATATGATTTGTGGTTTGTGTGTGTACTATATTAAATATGTTGTCTTTATCTTCTTTGTAGTGTTTATATATAGGCAAATTTTATTTTACGTTCACTTTGGTTCCATTGTTAATAATATCGAGTGATGTTTTCATTATAATTTTTATTTTGTGGTCTGTAGAAAGTATGTGTTCTACAAATTATTGTAGACTAGCTGTAACCCGCGGGCTTTGCCCCGTTTAACTTCTTAATTTTCAAGATGATCTCGTTCGCATGGCTCAATCACGTCATGGTTGAAGTTTGTTCGCTACGCTCACTCATCTTTAGGTTGGAGCTCGTTCGCTACGCTCACTTGCCTTCAGGTTAGCTCGTTCGCTACGCTAACTCGCCTCCAGGTTGAAGTTCGTTCGCTACGCTCACTCACCTTTTGGTTGCAAAATAGCTGTTGTCATAAATGTAAAAGAAATAATAGTGCTGCATCCTGTTGGTAATCCTTGTAACTTTAATGCTTTTGAACATCATAGAACAGAACCAACTTGTTTAATTGAAACAGCTGTTAAAGATTCAATAATTCCATTTCTCATAAGGTTAACATGGGAAACTCCAGAGCCACTGGGGCGGAGCCCGAAAGGATTTTTGAAATAAGAATATGCCTATATGTTAATCGGGAATGTGAGCTATCATCATGCCAAATTTCAGCCCAATCCGACCAGTATTTTTCGCGTTCACTTGTCACAAACATACATCCATACATCTATACATCCATACATCCAAACTTTCTCATTTATAATATTAGTAGGATTTTTGTGTTGTTCAATTTAATAGCTTGAGTAATTATGTTCTTTGTACCTACTTTTAAAATGTCCTGTTTGGCCAATATAGAGTTTTGAGCGTGAACTAAAGTTTAATTTGTATACTGTATGCCACAATTGACTTGTGTGTTTGTTATGTTTGATCGCGAAAACTTGTCAATTAAATAAAATTAATTGTTTCTTGTTCTGTATGATAATTTATTCAAGTTTAATTTATTTACAATATTGATAAGTTTTCATTTAAACATCAGTTTTCTTGTTTGGTAGTTTTCAATTTTATTGTTTTTATACACATTTGCATGGAAACATAGATAAAAAAAAACTCTAAACAACATATTCTTACTAATTTGGTTTACCAAGTCTCTCATGTAACAAATGTTTAGTCACTTCTAGGCCAAGTTCTGATGTAAATTACCCACTCCGTCAAGGCTATCCCCTCTGTGAGATACAAATTGTATTCCCAGTCAGACTGTGGTGTGTTGCAAGGATGTTCTGTTTGTGCAGTGGACTTTCAAGGTGTTGTTTATCATTGTAAAACTTTAGATTATTGATGATGACTCAGTTATTTGGATTGTTAGTTTACTGATGAACTGACTTACGGTACTGCTAAAGGTAAGTTTAAGGCTGGAGCCAACAATAACTCGTAAAGCAAAGAAATTATCAAATATGGTTACATATGTTGATTGTTGAATGGATTTTCATATTAACAATTTCAATTTTTACAACTTTGATCCCCCAAAACTTCCCTGTAGTGTTTTTATAGTTCCGAGGTGAATTTGAAATCTATAACTAGACAGGACACCGGCATTTGTAACAAAACTAGTAATTACTCAATCTGTAAAATAGTCTATTTAGTCATATTGCATTTCACAAACACACACGCACACACTAATCTTCACTCTTTAAATAATTATTGAATTTCAAATTATAAAAAAATTAGGTTACAAGTAAAAAAATTGATTTAAATAAGGTTTATTTACAATAAATATTTTTACTACAAGATAGTTATTTAAAATATAAATATTGTACTTTATTAAGTTGTCATCTTGGACATTGATAGATGCACAGACATACAGGTAGGCCTACACATTGAGATAAGACTTGTCGACCTTTCTTATGCTATGAGTAACAAAAAACTTAATGGTTCCATGCAATCATAGACAAAACAGTTTTTTATGTTTAATTATGGTAGTTTAAGATACAGTAGCCTACTATTAAGATATATTTCACCAGTAAACAAAGTTGGAATCGGCATCAAATGGTAGGTAATTTAAAAAAAAATCTGATTTAAACCCTGATAGCATTATTTTTCCAAACAACGTCATTGTTATTTCAACAAATCTGTTATTTAAAGATTGCAAAAAATAATCCCCTGGTAGCATACTATCCACTATGTTAATTTAAATTCAAATATTACCACTACAACTGACAAAGAAACTGACTGAAAAGTTAAATTAACTAATGATCAAAATATTCTTATCTCTTTCCTGTTTGTTTTTGTTCTGCACCATCATTAGGCTATTTGACCCTTGGTTATCAGGGAGTTTCTTGTTTATTTGGTGAGGTATCTGCCCATTGTTCTTATCTCTGCAAAACCTATATTAGAAGTGGTCCTTATCAAACACAAGTAAAATTGAGTTTCAGTGACTAGTAGAAGTAAAATCTTAAAACAAATTGAAACATTTTGAACAAAAATTATTTTTTAATGAAAAGTGAAAATATGGATAAGAAGCAGAGTTGGCCGGAGTGGGTTTATCCAGAGTGGAGAGTGGACAGTGGACTCCTGAGTCCGGAGAGATGGTTACAGGGCAAACAAGAGTGTGATGGAGCGGAGGGCTTGTGGAGGGTCCACGATGGGCTGTATGACCTCTCCTTGTGGATACATTCACATCCTGGTGGAGCGCAATGGCTTCAAGATACCAAGGTATGATCAATTCACTTTGTAAACAAAATCATACAAGTTATAATGGTTCTGTCCACCTTATATAGAAAGTGTTTTCTCTCTTGCTCTATGTGTTTTGCTATTACACCCACTTCTATATTTTGTACCTAGGGCCAAAAATTCAGTTTTGTCGGCTCGAGATAGTTTTTAGAGAAACGATCGAGGGCTGCAAAACCATTTCGGTCCATGGTACAAACACTATTTTTCACTCCATTATACCCTATTACTTTACCACTATTCACCACAATAATAATGCACATTAACAGCAATGCAAAACTACTCTTTAAGGTTATGTGAAGAAATAATTTGAGGAATCAGCAAAAATAATAATAATAACAAAAAACCTAATTTTCCTATATCAAATGCATGTTATTTGGGTTTAACACTAAACATTTTCTTTCTGAAATGGGGCCATTAAATCCCAAATAACATGCATATGATATAGGAAAATTAGGTTTTTTGTTATTTACACAAAAACTAAAAGAGATATGAAGTAAGTGTAAATTACAAAGTTGTTCAGAATTAAAAACCCTATAAAATGATGTGCCTTTTGATATATGTTTCTATTTGAAAATTTTGAACAATGGGCATTTGCAAATTTTCAAAAATAATTTTTTTTTATTTTGTCGTTTCAAAAAACCTTTACTTGTAGCATATCAGAGTAAAGCTAATTTCATAACAAGTAAGAAAATTCAACCGGAGAAGGGCTAAGTGCATTGGTATAGGAAACACAGAGTATTAAAAAAATGGTATTGATTAAAAAAAAAAAGTGCCGCCATTTTGAAACGAAAAAAATAATTAATTTCTGTTTTTGCCAAAATGTTTATCTATTAGCCTAAATACCTTTCAAATGATGTATAACACAACATATGTTTACATTTGAAAATTCCGAGATTCAAACTAGTGACCCTCAGTTTTTGGCACAACCTGTATCGTAAAAAAATTAAAAATATTTTTCCGTTATTCCTTGGGGTCGATTGAGTGGTAAATAATTTTATTTCATCCTTGCAGGTTAAGCTGTTTTTCCATAATCAATTTGTGACACCTCTCGTGGGACACCCTGTATGTGTCCGTAAACACGATAACTTGAGTAATTTTTATCAGATTTTGATGAAATTTTGTTTAAAGGTGTAAAGCGGGATAAACTTGAATGAGTTCACAAGCCAGCATGATCGGACCATGGGAACAGGGTTCTACTTTTATGGTGTAAAAATTGGTTTTTCTAATTTTTGACCCTCTGAACACAAAATTTCCCAATTTCTCTCCAGACCTTTTTAAAAAGCTTAAAAAAACAAATAATTTAGTATATCAAAGTGTTTTTGTACAATTATTGGTTACAGAGAAAATTCAAAAATTGTTATTTTAAAATTACAATGTTATTTTTATGGAGAATATTGTCAAATGTTGTTGCTTATTTATGGATATACCTATGTTGATAAAACTTGGTAAATTTATTTATTTTATACTAAGTTAATAATATTTTACTCTTGTTGGTTTTAGGTAAAAAGCATTTGCTACATTATTCAAATAATCAAACACACAATACTATTGGTGTGTAATTATTATAACTATGCACTTTTGAATATGGAATATACATAACGTAAATTTTACATGAACATTAACATGTTTAACGCTGTGGAAGTGAGTCATGACTACCAGGTGGAACATGAGCATGCGTCGAGCCGTCGAGTAGCAAGCGCCTGCATTTTAAGAATAGTATACCAATAGTTATTTGTGCAAAGTGAGCAAAGTGGCACTTTGCTGCACACGAAGGAAATGTTTACGCACATGCTGCAGGCGAGTGCAGAATGATCTCGAGTGCAGGAAAGGCCTCTTTTGCACTCGTGTTACACATTATATTTTTCCTACTGTCACTATAAAGCATATAAATAAATAGTCTTTCAAACACTATACAACACGTTTTTACATTCAGCTGGCAACACAAATAGGTGCCCTAGAGAAAGTAGTCACCGGTCCGTATCACTCCGCTATTTTTTCCTCGGCAAGCAATGTGCTCCGCGAGTTGAGAAAATAGTTCCGTATGTTTTTGTAATTTGCAGTGGTTTCCGCGCCTAAAAAAATGCTTTAAAGGTATTTTCTTGTTTATTAAGATCGTAAGAATGTTTTAAAAACTTTAAAAAAAGTTCAGAAATACCGAAAAGAGAACAAACTATAAACTCGAAATGACAGGTTAAATCGTAGTTATAATAGTCAATCAGCTGCTCATAGTATTATTTTTCTTTAAGTGTTGCCAACCTATTTCCAAGCGTACACGGATTACGTGCATAATAGAACCACGTTGTTTTGTGTTGTTTCGTTGGAATCGTGATGTGCGCCAAAGTATAAACCGTACGACAAAGTATAAATATGCAGCAATCAGCAGTTTTCTGTCCTATAAACAGTACAAGGAGGCCAACTTTGTCGGGTAATTGTAGGAAAAGGCAATTTGCACTTGTGTTACTCATCATATTTTTCCAACAGTTATTATAAAGCAAAGATATAATTAGTCTTTCAAACACTAATCAACATTTTAGGTTGGATTAAATCCAAGCGTTGAACGAAATGGGAAACACTGCAACAGTTGATCGTAGTCGTAGTATCTTTAAGTGTTGCCGACCTATTTCCAAGCGTACACGGATTACGTGCATAATAAAAGCAAAATGTGTTGTGATGTTTGATTGGAAACCTGGTGTGCAACAAAGTAAAAACTGTGCGGCAAAGTAAGTAAATGCAGCAATTAACAGCTTTCTGTACTAATCAGTGCAAGAAACCCCACTTTGTCGGGTGACTGTATGAAAAAACTATTTTAATTGCATATAAAAAACTATTTGAACAATCTATTCTATATTGCTCATAAATTTGTATTAAAAAATTAGAGAAAAGAAAAAATCGTAAAATTTTACACAAGAGCATGCAGTATACAGATTGTTTTCAAAAACAGGCTAAAAATAGGATGAGTCTACTTGAACTATTTAAAGTCAATGAAAAAATGGAGCTATAGAATAAAAGGAACAATAACTCTTTAATCTGCTATGTGATTCTACGTTATGTTATTATGCTGGTTTTGACACTCCTATTAGGTAACAAATTACACACATTATCATTCTAATATAGGACAATTGGTAGATTTGTTATTAATGGTAGAAAAATGTAATGTCTTCTGTATATTCTTTGTTTAGAATTCTAATTGTTATTTGCAGGGAACAGATATCACTGAGGCCTTTGAATCACATCACTTAAGCCCCCTGGCAACAAAAATACTACCTAATTTTTATGTTCGAAAGGCAAACGCACCAAGGAATTCCCCATTTACTTTCAAGGATGATGGGTTCTTCCGAATGATGAAGTCTAGAGTTTATGAAAAGCTGAAACATGTGCCACCAGGGCCCAGTAGACAGTAAGTGTTAACAAATGTTGAATGTAAAAAATAATTACACAATATCGGGTGAAAAAAAAACAATACAAAACTTTCACTACTTTACGTTAATGAAATATCTATTGGTAACTAAGACGCTCGCTTTGAGCAAAACTGAGATCGTGATATTAACAAAAAACGGAGTGACACCATCCGTTGAGGGTGGGGGCCGTCGAAGTCCAGACCGTTCATACTGCCTTACCTGTTAAGTACCTTGGGATTATGGTGGACAGCAAACTTAGCTGGCGGGACCAGATTTTCCGTACGGCGGACAAGGCCGCTAGGGTGGTTTCCTCTCTTAGCCGGTTGATGGCCAATGTCGGAGGGCCTCGGTCCAGTCGTAGAAGGCTGTCTTCTATCCAGTCCGTACTCTTGTACGGTGCAAAGGTGTGGGCAGACGCTCTCAATATGGAGGTATATAGGATACGGCTTGCCTGTGTGCAGCGTCAGGCAGCACTAAGAGTAGCATCCGCCTACCGAACAGTGTCCGAACCCGCCGTCCTGGGTTGCTGAGTTATCCCCGTCAAACTTTTGGCGGCGGAGAGAAAGGCAATTTATCAGCGCCGTGGGGAGGACCAGGCACAAACAGAGGAACGCACCCGCACCTACCAGCTGTGGCAGGAGAGCTGGGAACAGGGACGCTGGACCAGACGACTGATACAGCAAGTCCAACTTTGGGTTAATCAACGGTACGGAGAGGTGGACTTCTACCTCACCCAATTTCTGATTAGTCACAGCTTTTTCCGGTCGTACCTGTTCAGGATGGGCAAAGCCGTGTCATCCGATTGCATATAGTGCCCAGGCATTCCCGATGACGTGGAACATACCTTTTTCCACTGCCGGCATTGGAAAAGGCCCCGCCTGGAGGCTCAACAGTTAGTAGGACTGCTGTTGGTGGACACGGTCATACCGATGATGATGGGGAGTGAGGACAATTGGACCTGTGTGTCACATTACATCCAAGTTATTCTCCGCGCCAATAAGCTCGACCTTGCCAGGGATGCGGTTTAGGTCATAAAGAATCCAAATGCCAGAAACGATGAGAGCCCTTAGGTCACGTTTTGGCCTGCCTTGAAGTAATGTGACAAACAATTCCAGGTCTGTGTCCAACAGAGTAGAGGGATTTTTTTTTAGTGAGTAGTCTGATAATTTCAGGAGTCTCACAGTACAGGCTGGCTACCTGTGTGCTTAAAAGGATTTTTCCTGCTCTCCCTAAAAAAAAAAAGAAAAAATTGGTAACTAAGATGTATATTTCATCAATGAAACATGCGCAAAACAGCTAGTTAGTACCAAAATAAGTCACAATTAAGTAGGTACCACAATTGATTTTGGATACTAGGAAGACTTGGTTGAAAAGTTGTTTGTTTGAACCAAATCAGTTATTTTCATCAGCAAACTCTTATGATCGCAATAGGGTTTAATAGGTAAAATTTAGTTTTGCCCATTTTGACCCTCAAAACATAACATTTTGCAATTTCCTCCTAAATAGATTAGCATAGCTTTAAAAAATATTTTATTCAGTATATAGAAGGTTTGTTGTATGCTTCATAGTTACGGAGAAAATTTAAAATTCTCTGTTATTCTTATTGAAGAATACTAAAATACTTTACTTTGAAATAGCAAAGCTGTTGACTTCCTTATTGTTTATAGATACATTTTGATCATATTTAGCAAATATATTTATTATATATTAGGATATTTATATTGGGGGTCCACCAGTAGATTGACACTTCGTCATCTTTTTAAATTAATTATATAAATACCGAAAACCTCTTTTTCGACAAGTTATTTCATTGTCAGTCCCATTGACCGGCCGGTAAAATTAAATACATGAATCCTCTTCGTCAACAATTGACTCGACCGTCAGCTCACATTGTCATCTTTTACGTGGGGATGGGTAGAGCAGAAGCACGCGCATGTGTGGAGGCCGCTGCGGGCGTACCAACTGTATCTAGTAACGGCGGTTTTTATTTTGACGATTTTCAATTATCACAATGCAGCGGACTAGTGAGGAGTGCTAGTTTTTTATTACATGTAATTGTTTGTTTCTCAATTGATGTTTTTTATATACAGAACAGTGAATATAAATATGCATAATGTTTCTGAACTCTATGGAATATGAGAACATAAATACTCTACGGAAAGAAAAAAATCCTAAACATACCTATACTCATTCTATGCAATAAAAAAAATATTTTATTTAGCTACTACTCGTAAATGTAAATGATGAATAAATTACATTTCAATTCACTAATAAAGCTATTATCAAATAAAGAATAGCTTGTTGAAAAAAACCATAATTGTCAATAATATGCATCTAAAATGAAATTAATATTTTTCATTTAATTTCAGCTCAAAGATGCTTCTAGATTCGTTGGCTACAAGTACAATTGTTTTGTCAGTGTTGGCAGCACTGTATCAGAGTTTCTTGCTGGGGTTTGTTGCTGGAATGTTGCTCACAATGACAACAATCTGTTCCCACAACTTTTTTCATCAGAGGGACAGCTGGAGAATGTACCTGTTCAACATGTCCTTGTTCACTGTGAGGTAAATTCAGTGTCAATGAAGTAATTTGATGGTAAACTACCACAAGATACATAAATAGAAAGGTTTAAATGTGGTGCTTTGAAAATCCATATATATAAATCCCAAAGTACCCATGAACTTTTGAAAAAACTACAAGTCACACCCCCATAAACCATAGGCCTATACTTAAAATGTTCGTCATGACGAGAAACCTTGCAAAACTACCCATTATTTCATAAATTGCCCTTTAAGGTTGTAATTCCTTTCTAAAGGGAACTTTCCATATACCTAATGTTAAAAATACCTCAGCTGTACCTACTTATTTGTATGTAATTATTTCAATTTATTACCTTACTAGGTGGCGTTCGCAGAGGCATCCAAAAAATTGAGCGGAGTCATCAAGGGTTCATATTATATTGTTTTGGTCATACTGCAGTAAAAACAGTAGTTTTTAATGCATGCGTTGCGGGTCTAAAGTAGCATTTTTAATATTTAGGGAGTAAAAATAGTTTTTAGCCTCTATTGGTTATACCAATGTCCAGTTAAAAGGTGACTGGATAAAGAGGAGTCTACTGTATTACTGTATTCTGTTTTTTTTTTATTTTAGTTTAACTTAACGAATCAATAGTTTTATTAATACTTATGAAGTCAAATGGGGTGAAGCCCTTGGGTAAAAGCTAAATATTATCATTATCAATTGAGATGGGGACACCACCTAGGTGCGTATTTTAACCCAAATATGAGCGAAGATGTGTGTAGAATGGTATGAGATGATCTGTGTAGCTGAAAGCCCAATGATCAGGGACAGCTGGGTTCAGTTTCAAACCATCGAAAAGCTACCGACTTTTCTCAAGATTGATGGCAATCTTTCGACTTTTAGGCAAGCACTATAACCACTCAGTTACCAAAACAAATCACTTTGAAGTAGGGACTCTGTCATAATTCCTTTCTATCTGACATTGTAACATCTGTTTAAATGTTTTAATTTTTTTTTACTATTATGTTAGTTGTTTTATATTGTTAGTTTTTTATCATGCTAGATTCTACATGTACCTTCTACAAATGTTCAATAAAGCCTAACAAAAGGTACGGTAACTTAGTTTATTCATTCAATCTACAACAATTTATTGAACATAGAATATTTTATTAAAATATACATCAATCTTTTTTAATGGAACAAATTCTTAGACCTGAAAGATTTAATGCCAATCCTGGAAATAAATTCAAGTCAAGATTGGAAACATTGGATTCATACTTTTGAAAACTTCATCGAAACTAGTGAAAAATTGAGGCTTAAAGTATAAATCAATTCCATTTCACCATCCGTTTATGAGTATGTGAATGACTGTGAAACATACTAGGTGGCGTTCGCAGCTAGGCATACACAAAATTGAGCGGAGTCATCAAGGGTTCATATTATATTGTTTTTATAATACTGCAGTAAAAACAGTCGTTTTTAATGCATGCGTTGCGGTTCTAAAGTAGAATTTTTACTCTTTAGGGAGTAAAAATTGTTTTTAGCCTCTATGGAGTAAAAATTGTTTTTAGCCTCTATGGAGTTAAAATCAGCTGTTAACTCAGTTGTAAATTTCTATTGTAAACGATTGTATGTATCGAAATATGTATCGATTTGTGCTTCGTAATCATTTTAACCTACAGTCTACAGTCTCTTCCCATAGCATTTTGGCATTTGCAGATACATTAATCCATTCCCACACTCAACACTGCTAACCTTTACTACTTCCTTCACCAACGCCTACGTCGTGGACCTGTTTCCCTCTCTTCCCATAGCATTTTAGGATTGCAGATACATTAATGTAATTGCCTAAGACAGTTCCCACACTCTGCACTGCAAGCCTTACTACTTCCTTCACCATTTCCTACGTCATAGACCTGTTTCCTTCCCTTCTCATAGCATTTAAGTATTAGATACATTAAACTAACTGCCACAGACGGTTCTCACACTATGCTCATACTTTACTACTTCCTAAATCGTGGACCGGTTTTCATCACTTTCCATAGCATTTTAGTATTTTAGATACGTTAAATCTAATTGCCACAAACATTGCCCACACTCCGCACTGCTAGCCTTTACTACTTCTTTCAACACGTTCTATGTCGTGGGCATGCTTCCATCCCTTCTCATAGCATTTCAGCATTGCAGATACATTAATCTAACTGCTACAAACGGTTTCCAGTTCCCACACTCCACACTGCTCACCTTACTATTTCCTTCACCTCTTCTTACGACGTCACGGACCTGTTTCCCTCCCTTCCCATAGCATCATAGGATTGCAAATACCTTAATCAAATGGTCATAAATAGATCCCCTACTCCGAACAGCTCACCTTTACTACTTCCTTCACCACTTCCTACGTCGCGGACCCGTTTCCTTCCCTTCCAATAGCATTTTAGGAATGCAGATATCTAAATCTAATCGTCATAAACAGTTTCCACACTCCAGACTGCTCACCTTTACTACTTCCTTCACCAATTCCTACGTCACGGACCTCAAGCTAGTGTCGTCAATTGATTATATTTATGATCCATACGATTTCTGTTCTAATATCTGTGGCATAATGCTATCAGCTATTTCTTTATCTACTGCATTCAAAAGTCAACAGCTGATCGTATGTCTTTGTTTATGTGTCAAATACTGCTTCCATTAGGATTACATTGAAACTTTAAAACCCAGTGGGGCGGATTCCTGAGAGACTTTTTTAACGCCATATAGATGTTGGCACTCACCGATATGGTCTTTATCGCCATGCAAAATTTCAAAACGATTGATTCAGCCGTCTAGGAGGAGTTTGCGTATTACGAAATGCATAAGAGTCGACGTATAAGAGCTTCGCTCGCTCCGCTCAACAAACAAGCAATTTTAATGTGTTGAAAAAGTTGTACTTGAAACCTGTTGATGAAATTTACACACGTCATAAACTTAGAATCAGAAGACAAGAGCCTGGGGAGAGCATAGATACTTACCTACATGGAATCTCTGAATCGCCTTTCCTAGGATTGTAACTTTAAAGCTGTCAATGCTGTATCTAGTAGAGATGAATACATCAGAGACACAATTATTGATGGCTTGCTCATGCCTCATATTTGTCAACGGTTGTTGGAAAGCTCTACTTTGACTTTGGATGAAGCAGTTTCTCAAGCCAGATCACTCGAACTTACTAAATATCACTCTGAACAGTAAAACTTAGAGAATTGCTTACCAATAACTAACGCTGCAGCTTCAAAACATTTAAGTGAAAAGAATCCATACTTGTCCAATCCTGATCCAAGACCTTCTGCTGCCGAACCAGAATCATATCTATCTCAAGAAAATATCGCATGTTCACTCAATCAGACATGTTACTTCTGTGGCTTTAAGAAACACAACAGAGCTGCTTGTCCAGCTAAAGAAGCTATATGCAGAGGATGCAGCATTAAAGGTCATTACCAAAATGTAGAAAATCCAAAACACCGACATCTACAGTGAAGGCCTCAGTCCATCAGTCAAATTGTATTGCCTCAGTACCACCGTGTTTGAGTAAAGCTGTACAATTAAATGGAGTCGATGCATAGGCTCTTATAGATACTGGTAGTTCTGGTAGCTTTATTAATTAAAGCTCAGCACTTAAATTTAACATCCCTGTCATACCATGTAATGGGGGAGAGGTATCAATGGCTTCCACAACTCTGCGTTCTTCAATAAAAGCGTAGGCTACTGTAAAATCAATCCCAAATTGCAAGATCATATTTACAAGAATGTGGTTTTCAGTGTACTTTACAAACTTATGTTCTGAAATTATTGTAGTGCATGACATTCTAAAAAGACACTCAAGTTTATAAGTAAATTTTGGAGGAAAGAGTCTCCTCTCCTGGCTGACATAGTCTTTTAAATACAAAGGCGGGCATTTCCTCCTGGAGCTTCTCCTTAGAGCAATCTGGTCCTGATTCAGTCTTTCCTCGCCTTGTAAGACTAACAATATGAAACTAAGCAACTAACATCATAGTAAACAAAAAAACAATTTCTAAACATTTAAAGATATAAAAAATTAAACATTTTTTTTTAATTTTTAATACTGTATCGGTAGTTTTCTAATCTTTTGTTAATTTTATTTTTCCATTTTGTGTTTACTATGCAAAGCGCTGTGTCCTGTAAGAAAGAAACTCAAATGTTACCAGTTTTGGTTTTAGTAACCATTTGGTGTTTTGCATATGTATTAAGAGTATTCAGTATTATTATCTAATCAGATCAATTTCCACATTAGTTTTATAAAATTAAATACAATAAGAGTAGAGTGAAGGAATTACATAAGCCCAAACTAGTTGTTCTGCCTTTGACTAGCCACGGGGAGAGAACGAGGAGAAGATATGTTGATTCTTCACTGCCTTATTCAACAGTTTGTTGGATTATTAAGCGATTGTTCTTGATAAATTAATTTTATCAATGTCCACACACAAGGAAAAATACTCTACAGTTGTGTTTACAATTGCGCTACAGTTGAGTTATAGCGTTCACAGACACATATGTATAGCTATTACATTATTTTTATATATGTATATATATAAATTTTAACAAATAATGTTTTTGGCCTATAGGGACATCAAAATAAAAAGGAAAATCAGTCCATGGCTCTAGGTCTTACTATGCCACCTATAGCTACTCCCCAATGGGGAAATTCCCTAACAGTAATTAAAAACACAATCTGGCTAGCTATGTGCGTTACAAAAAAATCTGCCCACCTGCAGGAGTATGTCTCATTTTGCCCTGGCCTTGATGATAGATTGCGAAGTAGTGTTTAAAAATTAATAGAGTTTTGTTTTATATCAAATCGAGTACCGTTAATTACACAAGGTAAAATATTTTGTCTTTTCTTCTGAAAAATTAAAAAAATAAATGCTTCACAAGTTTTTGTTCAATCATGTAAGTTGTTAACGGATGATGGGTTTGTGTTGGATAGGACATTATGAAGACCCAGAGGAGAGTGGATGATGACTGATATCACCTGTTTGGAATTGTCTTTTGCTTTTTATTGAGACATTGCCTATTTTGTTTACAGACACTGGAGGATCTCCCATGCACTCAGCCATCACTTGTATCCTAACACTCATTATGACTTGGAGATTTCCATGTTCGAGCCATTTCTCAAATATATTCCGAGTTCAGAAAAATCAAAAATTTGGAGCCGTTTATCTGTAATATATTCCCCATTTATATATCCCTTCATCACCCTAGCAGAAGGGATTAAAAGGTAAAGGATTATAATCTACATGAAAATAATTAAACAGTTTGACATGTTTCACACGTTAGGCTATTCAAAAGATAAATAGGTCATTTTAATTTTTATTGGATTCAACAAGAATCTCATATTTCTACAAGTATGACCAATTAATGCAAACTCTTACTTTAATATGCTATGCATAGCTAAAGATTTTTATTTAAAGGTACAAAAAAAATTTTAACCGGAGTTATTACCTTTCCTGTATTGTATTCTACCCAAACTCCACATGCTATATGTAGTTAATTTGATCAAATATCATAATGCTTCATTAATCTTTAGAAAATTAATTAAAATATATATATATATATTAATTGCTAGTAATAGTATGCTATTTAATTGATCGACTTTTTCATGTTGAGTTTTTTACTGTATGGATGCTTTAGTGAAAAAAATAAACTTATATTTAGTTTATTATTGATTTTTAGGACATTAACTACACAACCTCAACCACAAGATTTAATTGGGTTTCTACTACCAACAGTGACGATTCTGATTGGTGGTGTGTCAGTTCTTCAAGCTTTGAAGATGTGGATCTTCATCACCTTAGTTGGTAGCTTCTTTTTTGGTGTTATTGGTGTGAATGTAGCACACCACCATCCTGACATATTTCACTATGGAGATAAGCCAAAGTAAGAAAGAAAAATTGTTTTTCCAACAGTTTATCAAGCATGTACCATACTAATCTTGTTGATTTTACCCTGAATCTACACAAATATACCAGGCCAGGAATAATAGTAATAGGAATAGTTGAACTCTGACTGTCATGAATTTGACTATATTTGAATAGGCCAGCCACCCATTGTTTTGCTATTAGAGTAAAAGCAGCTGTAATGCTATCCTGTCAGAGGGCATACAGAGGACAGAGGGTTTCTGGGATTTCCTCAAATGGTTGTTTAAAATTTAGTTAATACATCATTATGGTACCTACTAATATTTATTATTTTATAGCTGTGTGCACATTCTACTCATGGGGGATCTTTTGATGAGTTTAAACCTTATTATATCCAGATCAGCAGTTGGATCGCTACTAAGTTTGCATTTTTCAAGATATGCAGGCAAAACTATTATGGGAATACTTTATTTGACAATATCTGACAGTTTCAATATCTGACACATTATATACAATACAATATAAAATATCTGACAGTTTCAAGCCAAACCCAATGGTTAGCGATTAAATGTTACCCGGATATAAATCTCTCTAGTTTTATTTGATATCCAATGACTTAAAACTTTATAGATCTATGATGCATAGCATAGCTACTGTATAACTAAAAACTACTTTCCACACTGATTAAAAGTAGTCAAATACTACCTTACCATTATAAACTTGATTCCGTTGACATTCTCATTAGAACTTGCTCAATGTCTTTTACGTGAAACACTGAGAAATAAGGGCAGAAATGTGTTACCAACAGACACACACACAAAAATACAGAATAAAAGACAGAATTGCATTAGGCCATTTATTACGCTATGACCAAAGTAATGTACAGATAAAATTAGTATTCATCATATAATATCATATCGTATATACATATCGTGCAGTGATTATGTAGGTTGTAATGATTTTTTTTAAATATTTACTTACAGTAACCCTTTGCTTTGAGTGCTATGCAATGATATATCGTTGTTTACTAAAATCTCTAAGGGCTATAGAGAGGAATGTTATTTTAACAAAAAGGTAGCAAAACAGCCATTGGTGACCTGCATGTTCATAGGATTCACTAACAACCACTTAGCTAAAAGATTCCCCCAATCCGATGATTCAAGGTGTATGTCTAAACTCTAAACCAAGGATTATGAACACCTCAATATGACCCAGTGGTTGTAATATATTGCTACAAACGCACAGGTCACCAATTGTTTGCCCACAGGACAGGATTCGATCCCGAGCAGACAAATGCCACTAGCCAAGTGACACACACCCTAACCACCTCGGCTATCTGTGCTTGGAAACTGAGGAGTAAAAACCGGTATTTAAGCTGACGTAAACGATTGCTAACAGATAGCACTACAGCAAGTTGTTTAATGTGTTAATAGGTAGCAGCACTAGTTAGTCACAGACTATTTATTACAGAATACAAATTATTGGGCTAGAACTCAAAGGGTAAATCACAAATATGATATAAAATTAAGTCGATACGGTCCATTTCGATAAAAATTGAAGTAATTTATGATACACATGCTACAAACTGATACTTAAACATCATAAAGCGTAAATGATTCATGATGGTATGCTCAAAAAATGTTTCCCTCAAACGTGTTATAATTTTCTTGGCATAAACTCATGTTTGGAACCTAGACAGAAAACTCAAATCTTATACAGTAAGACATCAATTAAATTTAATATGACTGTAAGAAAGGTGCAACACCAACGATAACTAAATTGAAGAACCAAGGGAAAAACGGGCTAACCTTCATTACAATTACAGCTAACACCATTTACAATTATTGCAAATGGTGATGTGTTGGTACATAAAAATGATTCTCCCTACCACCGGTTCTAGGGAAAAGTGCCGGTACCTAAGAACTAACGTCGAAATTTGGCTACGGATAAATTGGGTAGGCCTGCGTAATGATAGATGGGTCATAGGCCTATTTGCGGTATGGCCTAGCGATGGCAGCGCAATACTGGTGAACCGAAACCGAAATCAACACATTAAGAAAGCGATTTTAGCAGCATAAGTGAACCTCTGTTACAATCACAACGACATCATGTCATCACCCAATATGACAGTAACATCCATGATCACTGCAGTTTTTTTTACTTTACAAAAATGACATTGAAACGCCGTTAATTAATGGAACCTAGATTGTAGGCTGTTGGTGAATATTGAGAAATTTAAGTTTCTCAATCTTATACAAAACTGATTCCCGGTTATCAAAAGTCAAGTATAGTGAAATTGGAAACATGCAGAATCTTAGGTTTCATTAATTATGAATGAAATAATGAAATTTTCATGGATGACGTATTCTCTAAACAGATGATTACTATTTCATAATGACGTATGTAGTAAACAATAGGATAAAACTTGACAAAAATTGCACAAAATAAAGGTTTTGAAGGTTCCTTGTTTTGTTTCCAAAGTGGTGAGAACATATTTTATTTTTTAATAGCCAAAAACACTCTCACCAATTCAGTGAATACAGAAAAATGATTTGAATCGTGATGGGTAATCTAGTTATCTCGGAGTAGGCCGCATATGTTGGCATTTTGGCATTACAGACACAATGACAGACAGACAGACAAACAAACAGACAGAAATTGAGATAAGACTCGTTTAGGCTTTCTTAGGCTATGAAACGTAAAAATAACCAATAACTTCATGATTCTATGCAATATACAGACAAAACTGTAATTTTATTTTTATAGATACCAGTATTTAGTAATAACAATCTTCAACTTTATTAGAAATTTGTAGAAAGTACTCAAATGGAAACTAAAACACGAATGGCCGTTAACGCTCTAGGTGTCGCATTGAACACCTGTAAATGTCACTCAATTTTCGAGACTTTTGCGGAGTTTGATTAAAAAATTAATAAAAAATCTAAATGATGACATTGGATATATAACATTGTATATTTTCTTAAAGCAAATAAAATTTTCTATCTAAAATGTATGATATTTGTGTCTTACATTGTATAAAAGCAATTTTTTGTTGGTTAAAATCCAGACGTTCCAAAAAAAGTTTAAATTTTTTACATAAGCGCATATGTAAAATAAAAAATCCCTATATTTACAAAAACTGAGATATACATTTTATTCTAAATGTAATAAGGAAAAAGAAAATATATAGTTTCCACCCTGTTTTCTCTTTATAATAACTCAAAAAATCACGACACACAACAACAGTACAACGTAAACATTCGCTCACTAGCAACCGAAACAAACAATGACATATGGAAAAACTATCACAGAACAAGATAAATAGTTTGGGAAATGGTCGTCTTCTATACTCACCATGAAGCCCTAAATCTCCTGAACACGTTAGTATGCCCAATGACCAGGTTTGTTCGATCTCGTGGGATTATATCAACTGAAACCGTAGGCCTGTCAAGTCGCCGTAATTACGTCGATTGAAACCTAGAGGGCTAATGTTCCACTCCTGGAATCTTGTTATTAGTGTATCCCGACATATTGCCTTCAATTCTGGTTATTGCACAACAGGGAATATGGCCATGGCCCAATTGATAGTCTGTCGTAAAATGTAAATTCATATTTACGACTGGAGACTGCAATATTTACCTACACACAAAAACTTGCAACCTGTAACCTGTAAAGATGTAAGTATTCGTACATTATAAAATGGTTTTCTATGTTCCAGCAAAGACCGTGATTGGGGCATATTCAGTTTGGCTGCAACAAGGGATAGAATTGAGGTCTATGGATCTCCAAACCTGGTCCTATTAACCTTTGGAGATCATTGTCTACACCATCTGTTCCCAACAATAGATCATGTGCACCTGCACAGTCTTTATCCTATTTTAGAACAAACTTGTAAAGAATTTGGAATCAAATTCAAGATGATGACAACTTTGGACCTTCTCCTTGGCCAGTTCAGACAACTTATGAGGAGAGAACCGAATCTCAAAGAGCCTTTGTGTGATTAAGATACTGTATCATAGAAATTAAATACATATTTAATAAAAATTTTAAAACATTGCTCAGTTCTCATCAAATTATATTTTTACCCCGTTCTTTAGCAATGCAAGTACAGTAGAAGTTTGATAATTCGACTCTCATTAATCCGTACGCTCCTATAATTCGGCTGGGTCCAACCCCTACAAAAAATCATAGCCTTAGAGAAATAAATTTCATATTTTGTTGGGTTATGAGAAAGTTTATTCTGAATTAATTAAATAATAAAATTTGAAATTATTTTGTTCATGAAGGCCTATTACGGCTAAATTGATAGCTGAAATAATGTTGATTTTTCTGTATAAAAAAACAAACTAACATGTCTTTAATTGTGGGTAATAAACATACATTTTAAATAGAATGAACGGCAAGTTACCTTAGTCGTTGTATTGAATTTATAGATACAATGTTTATAAGCTAAGCTATAATGATGTCGCAGCAGTCCAAGTAACAGGAGTTTTAAACATGAATTGACTTTTACTTGAACTTGGTAGTTCTTTTCTGCTTTATTTTAGTTTTGTTCTAGACGAGTCGTAAAGCACAAGCAAGAGAACAACCGATAAACGACCAAACGAGAACTTGCACCATAAATCTTTGCCTCAGAGTTCACAAATATTTTAGGCTAGGCAAAAGTAAAACTTGAAAAAGAAAATAATGAATACCTAAAAGGTTAAAATTAAGTGGTTGGTGTTACCTTGGTTGTTAATATTTACCTTACCTGCACTCTATGCAGGTAGAACAAAGACTCTATGTCATGTCCAATGTGTCTACACTGGTTATTGAAATAAGATTCTTTTATTCATCCGAATGCAGTACCATATTTTGCGTAGTATATCGAATTGTTAATTCAGTATTTATTAGTTTGTAGATTTATTTGTTTTCATTACGGACGCTGTCATGTGTGCCGTTGTGAGGTGTGCTCATATGAATGTTTTGATAGTCATAGACGATTAGTTTTGTCGACCACTCTAAAGTTGATGAAAATGTTATGTTGAAATAACATCCTTGGAAAAGAAACTAAATGATGATTATTAACTTGTGAAGATTTTTTTTTTAGTCAAAAAGTCATAATCTACAGTCTATCCGAAAAAGTATAATATTCATTATTTGTTTAACGTATAATGTCGGATATCAAATTTGGGCTCGGTTTGGATACGGATATCCGAACTGAACCGAGTATTTGGATATCCACACTCCTCTATAAAATATGAATATGAGCTAGAGACAATGAATACAATTCTTAAATCAGTACCTAAATATAAAGTAAGGAGTATTTCACAAAAAATTAAAAAAAACAAAATTTATTAATTTGTTTTTGGTTACATGCAGAACTAATAGTAAAATCCTAACGTCTAGGTTAACAGGTACTGGTTGTGACATCACACATGTAGCCACGATTATTAAAAAATATAACTAAAGCTAGGCCTGTATTGGATACATTTTGTTGAGAAATAGCTTATGCATTATTGATAGTCGCAAACAATTACTAGGTAATGCAATTCACTGCCTAGCACAGTTGATACTGTAGTCAACCAGTTAAACTGTCACATAAATTGAATCTCATCAACAAAATATACTTTTCCCACACTAAATCATTATATTAAATACCCATTTTTGTGTGATTTCTCACATAACAACAAATTAGCGTCTAAAATGAGTAGAAAACCGTTTTACAATTCATTCAACAGAACATAAAGAAATCTTAAATTGTGAGGTAAAATGATGAGTTAAACACTATCTAAAGTAGAAAAAGGGACAGCCACTGGTAATGCTACTGAAAACATAATCTTCTTACAATGTTGAAACCTTATAACAAATTAAATGCTCAAAAACTTCAGTCTTTACTAAAAACTCTATAAAAATAACAAAGTTCTAACCAAAGTCTTTGGTGAATCAATTAACAATATAAAACACTTGACAAGCACAAAATATTCAAGAATTGTCTATCTTGTAAATATCTCTGAACACTTTTGGATTTAAATGTTCACACAATTGGAAGGCATTGGCCACACTCCATACACAAAAGCAACAAGTTTGATGCAAACCCCTCAGGATATGTACTGAAGGAGGGGTGTTCTGTGCAGAACTGACCATGACTGTCTACAGCCAGGACGAGTCTTTGTTCAAGATCAGCCAACGAAAGTGTTCCAGGAAGGAGAAGGGAACACTTTGAGCAGGTAATAACCTGTTCAAGAACAATGTTTTATTAATGTGTTTATGAGGTTAAAATATATAACTTTTATTTTCAACCAAAGGCTTCATGATAAACACAGCACAACCTTGGATATCTAGGGTAATGGAAATTAAAGTGACTAGAGGCGAGTGAATACTCAAGTATCGAGTAATTATACAAATACTGCAACACAAAAAATTTGCAACGACTCGAGTGGTTGAAACTGACCAGAAAATTATGGTCAAATATTTTAGTAATAATATGCTGAAATAAAAAACATTTCATTCATCCAGGATTGTAATAGATAATATTTCTACAACGTTTTTATTCTTCTTTGTATCAAATACAGGAGCGCTAGATATTTCATAGCCTACTAAAAATTAAATGTACACAAGTGTAAACTTAAAGAATCAAACTCAGCACACCATTTTGGGAAATATAAATAAAATGTTTATAGGGCAAGAACTGCAAGCGCGTCGGGGGTTGTTGGAAAAATAAAACCCTGTGGAAAATATGAATATTGGCAACATCTTGACCAACGCGAAATTAAAAACCCACTACCCTAACATGCACTCTGCACAATATGCGTTTCCTTTTCAATAGCTAGACAAAATATAATCGCATTACAATGTAAGTTACATGACAACTGTCTCCGATCAGAGGCATGCGCACCCGGGTGGGGTAGCTGATGTCTCCGATCGGAGACATGCCGCAGTAAACGTGTTAATCAGGAAAGTAAAAACATTTAGTATTTAGTTTTTGAGATTTAATTTTTGATTAAATCTTCAATGATTAAAAATTTCTGGTTTGACCATTACTAATAATGCTATTAATTAACCTTCTGTCGGGGGCATTTATTTTCAAACATCAAGGGCGCTCACAGAAAACCTCCAGGAGTACAAAAACATACAATGATGAGTAAAAAACACTTTAATAGCATTAAAACTGTAAGAAAAACATTTTTTATGAGTTATTACACTTACTTAAGATTACTCAAGTTCTATATAAAATATAAAATGTTATATTAAACAATACAAATACGTAAGTGTTGTGGGTAAAAAAGACTTACTTTTTGTACAGTATACTATCGTATAAAATTAGAAAAATTTTCAAAAGTTTATAAGTGTAACATAAAAACACGTATGGTCGAATTAAAACAATCATTTGTTACAAGGACAACTCATCTGATCAAAGCTCTTAGACAAAAATTGCATCAGTGTATGACATGAAAAAACCTATGGTCTTACGAAAAAAATCATTTTATAAGGAAAACTTATTTTGTCAAAGCTCTTAGAAAAATTGCAATCGTGTATGAAATTAAACTCCTATTGTCTGATGAAAAAAGTCATTTGTTAGAAGGACTACTCATTTTGTCAAAGCTCTTTTTCTTGAAAAAAAAGTTCCCGAACAAACAGTAGGCCTTTCCACTAAATGTTGCTCCCTGTCCTCCCTTTCAACACAAGCCAACAATCTCGCTATTCGTTCTGCTTCATCCTTTTTATAATATCAATAAATAAGGTCTAACACAAGGGTACACACGGAGATAGGCTCCGGGAAACCCGTTGCATCAAAGAGTCCACACGGAAGCTACTTCCAGAAGTGACGCAAACCACTCCCAAGGTCGACTGACAGCTGTGAAAGGGGTAAGAGTAGCCCAAACCGATTCTGCGAAAGAAGAGCGTGAGGTACGGCAGGCAAAAGATTTGCCAAACACAAACTATGGTTTTTATAACGAAAAATGTAGTGACCCGGAGGTAACTTCCGTGATGCGCCCAATGGAAGGTTAATAATTATAGCAGAATCAACTGGTTCAAAATAGAGCGTGGTGCAAAGACTGTTATGTTCACAAGCAAAAAATGAAAATTAAATTCTTAATGAGATGATGAAATTTTTAATACCGTAAAGTGCTTGTGTAATTAATTTTTTTAAATTTTTTTTTATCATTACATTACTGTATGTCAAAAGATAATTTGGTAAGTAAAAAATAAAAACTGCAATGGATACTTAGACCTATGCAAACTGACCTGTTTGTCAACATCACATTTGAGAATACCATGACTGCACATTGGACAAGTGACAACATCAGCCATCTCAGCCTGAGCATTTGTCATCTCTATCATCCTCTCATACTCCTCAAGAATCCATCGTTCTGCAAAAGTTGAAGTTCACTGTAGGTTATCACATAAAATATTTGAGCCAAAATTTAGTTTTTCATTCAGAACATTGTGAGTCTGTGAGGAGATTTTTATGCTTTATAAAAATTTCTAAGCTCACTATACTGCATTTGCAGGATAATATAATTTAATTTAATTATCTAAGTACTGTAGTGATGGGCTGTGTATGGTGGAATAATGGAAGAGTTATCGGATAGATGAGGGTTACATGGAAGTTAGAAACATGAACTTGAGTTACCTCATGAATGAGTAGGGGTTGGTGTGTTTTAATTTAAGAAATGACTGGTCAGGTTAATTTAACTGAGGGATTAGGAAGCGGTGCAACGGTTTAATTTAAAAGGAAAAAGCTTTTACCCTGAGGCTGATTGTGCCCGTCGCAGTAAACACCCTAAGCCAGCTTTTATTGAGCTGTGACTAACTAATTTATACCATGCACGACTTATAACTTAACCACTACCTGAAAATCTCAGAGTTGCATGGATTAGATTTGATTATAGCATAGCTATTTACCTTACAAGTGTGATAAGAGCGTCTTTACATCACGCTCTTGCGTAACGTGTAACGTACAAGATTTTACCTGACCCGACAATATACAGGGGGTTACGAACAATATTTTTCATTATCCATTTCACTCATCTTCTAACAGTAACGTTTATTTACAAACAAAAGCTAGGTTAGGAAAATTCTTCAAAGCATAACAATAAAACTCAAGCGCACAGCTGATTTCTAGCGTTGAACGTCGTCGGCTCCATAGACAGACAGACAGACAGACAGAAAATCTTTAATCAAAATCTTAGAGATTTGAAAGGCGTCAATACACACAAAAATGAGATAAATTGTCAAATACAATCAAAGTTCTGCCAGTCCATAAATTCTCTTATGCTGTAGAATGGCATCTTGCAGAACCAACGGGTGAGTTGAGCTTTTAAGGTTTTAGGGTTGTCATCTTTCAGCTCTCCTGGCAGCATGTTGAAGAATTTTGATCCAGCATAGGTAGGCTTACGTTCGAAGAGTCCAAGGCGATGAGCAGGGAGGTTGTAGTTGGTTTTATTTCTCGTTTCATAGCTGTGTACTTCTTCATGTCGCTTGAGATTCCTGGTTGAGGCCAAAATAATGGTTTCTATTATGTAGAGACTGATTACAGTAAGTAGTTCGTTGTCTTTAAAGAAACCTCTAGAACTTTCCAGCCAGTTGACATCATACATGATTTTCAGAGCTTTTTTCTGCAGTATCAATACTCGTTCCAAGTGAGTAAGAGCAGCAGACCCCCAAACTGCTATTCCATACCGTAGATGGCTTTCAAATAGGGCGTGATACGCCACAAGCACAGCCTCTTGCGTGCAGACGCTTTTAATTCTTCTCAGAGCATATAGAGCGCTACTAAGCTGTCGACATAGGTGGTCTAGATGGTCTTGCCAGGAAAGACGTTCGTCTATAACTACACCTAGATGTTTAGTACTCTCCACAGTCAGTAGGCCTGGTATAGCAGATACATGTTCTCTTTTTTTTCCAAAGGTTAGTTGAATGGTCTTTGATTCGTTGAAAACCATTGAGGTATATTTTTTAAGTTAACCCCTCAATGTTATTTAAATGGGTTTCATTACCTCACCGAGTGAGTTTTTTCAACTTTACATCACTTGTGAAGTAAAGAAGTTGTATACATCACGCTTGGGATAGGGAAGTTTAACATGGCGGGTTAGGTAAACTAATATAGCCTACCTTACTATGGAATACTGAATTCTTGACTTAGATAATTTTATGGGCTAGTGAATTACTTAAATTGGCAGGAGAGATCAATTTAATACAATGTTCTGTTACATTGTCCAAACAAGTTTGATATCGGTTTCCCGGGCAAACCCCAAAAACTACATCCTAAAACCCCTGGTTTCTCCCCGGCAAGCCCTGACTAAAGATAACTATTTCATATTCTTGAATTTGGCAAACTTGAACTTAATAGCCTATATCTTATTTAGGTACTTATCAAACCGTCAATGTTGATCGTCCCAGGCAGGAAAAAGATTGGGAAGAGCCTAGGTTGAAGTTTTGTCATATTCGTTTTGCGATGTTTGACCACTGACATTGGTTGTAACCAGACTGAAAGGGATTTTGCTTGCATGCTGGGTGTATATATATATATATATTTATGAACTGGTGACAATCTGAGTAAATCAAAATGTGAGTTAAAAAAGACATGGATTACCTACCTTGATCCGTAACTGCTAACTGTGAAAGAGGTGTGTCATCAAATTCGTTCATACAATCATCTTCAATTGCAATACTAAAAAACAAAGCTTATTGAGTGACGTAAATATAACATAATTTTCTAAGGTAAAACAATTGTTTACACAAGGATTTGATGCCATGCACAAAATTGTTAGTTCTTACCAAACAGGTTAATGTGTTTAGTTTGGTATGGTGGACTAAGATACAAATCTCAACCTAAGTTTATTGATCTCTGCACAGTAGATAATTAGAGATTGTTTGCAGACAGTACTGTCATCTTGTTAAATATTCTTCACTGTTTTTATCTGTAGCCTATGCCTTAACATTTCAATTTTCAAGTTTCAAGACCATTTTTGAACTCTGCATAGGATTATTACATCCTAATCTGTAAATAAGACTTTCTAAAATTTAAATGTGCCGTAACTAATTACAATTCACTGAAAAGGGTTAATTCAATTGACCTATTTAGAGGATTGAGGCAAGTGACTTCTTTAAGTTTGTCTGAAGTTGTTGGTATTAATGCTATAAAAGAAGTTTATGTTTTTTATTCTATTAAAGGGACAAATATAGGCCTAAATATCGCAGTAGCAAACCTGGAGACTAAGACATGGTTCACACAAGCAACATAATCTAGCCGACTGACAATGACTAGCATTTGCCGAGGCCCGACGTCATATCAGTTCACACGAGCGACAAGGGTACCGACTAGGTCTCAGGCGTGACTAATGAGCATATTTTTTTTTGTAACTAAATTTGTATTAGAATAGTAAAATTCTGCTTATAAGCCATCATTTAAACTATTATAAAAGTTTGGTTCCTATAGGATATAAGGGAATTTAAAATTATTATTACTGTATAAACCACTCAGTCGTTCATAAACTGATAGGGTATATTTTGTTTTTGGTATTGTTTAACTTGTAGTAAAAATTGTCCTTCTCGGATTTTCTTTGAAGCCTGAGTAGCCTACATAATACAACAAACTTTCTACCAATGCATGTTTTCTTAATTTTGTCGTGGTATTCCGTAAGACTAGTGTTCCAAAGAAAGGGCCATTTCTTACCGATTTGATTAAATGAAAATATCGATATCAAAGCCACTCACATCAATCACTCGCGCACAATGAAAACAAAAGTAAGTGTGCGAGCTGCAGTGTGATGACCGACCAACCGTGTAAACACTCTCATATGACCATCGATATATAACTACTACTGGATTGCTGGCTGAGCTCGATAGCCCGGGCCGAAATCAGTGGTTGCGTCATAGATGAAGTAATATAATGAGATAGGCAGCCATATGGAGTTTATCGTGGGCGTTTTTATAGCCTAGTAGTGTGCTGCTCCTAGCGGCAATATCGAGCCCTACAATCTGCGTTACCAACGGAAGCGCAAACAATGGCATTGTTTCCAATTGTACATGCCCGACGCAACTTCGAGAGCCCGCTTCCCGGCTCATGGATAAAGTTTACTGTGTCTGTTGCTTGATTTTTTAACCTCGCAGTGTGCGTGTTAGCGTTAAAAAATGTTATTACTCAATTTATATTATTAAAATAATAAATATTTAATACCTATACTAGTGGATATTATGTGAATGAAGTATTATTTTAATGTTAGACCTAATTAATTAATTTTAATATTAGGCCTAACTGAATTAGTATGCTCTATTTATTGTACGCATGAAATGTTAACGAACTACAGTATACAATTTATTTGATATTCTGTTATAATTTATAATACTGTATTAATAATACTGTTATAATAACATTTAATTATTTACTTGGTTGAGACGCAACAAAACACCTTTGTTTGTTTACTTTTCTAGTTAAAAATTCAGAATGTCCATACGTTTTATTTTCATTTCCACCTAACCAAATTTAGATTTCTAGCGAATTTCCCTATAAGGAAGTACAGTAGCTATTGAGGTAGCACGGTAGGACTTAGGCCCGGGACCGATTAACATTTTAATTTTTATGTCCACAGAGGCTAAAAACACTATTGATTCAAATTGTTATATGCATTTCTTTGTACGTGAACGCGATTAATTTTGTCCTGATTTTTATGGAATTTGGGTTAAAGGTTTAGGGCGTGAGAAACTCAATGAGATTGAGTTTCGATTCCAAAAATTGTAAATTTAAAATTCGTATGTCATTAAGTAAACTGTTGCAGTTTGCTTGTTTATGGATATAATATGTTGCCCAACATTTTGAAAATCTTATTTATTTCATCCTGTACTAAAAATTTTGTAGAGAAACACTTGTTACTTATCCCATACCAGCAAACCTAATCACTTAAATCGTAAATCTTATGTTATTCGAACTGGGAAATAAATTTGTTTTGTTTATGGAAATTTTTTAGTGCGAATCCAATTAGGGAAATTTAAATTTTGCTTCGTCAGCAGGTTTGCTGCGATAGGGGTATTTTAAATTAAAACTGTGCGCATTTTAACACAAAAAAGGGTAAGAGTTTGGAGTAAAAGTAGAAATGTTTTATTTTGAAGATTTGAATAAATATGACACAAAATCTGGTACCTACAGAAATTTTTTTTTTAATTATGGAATGTCACCACCCACCTGCCAAGACATTCCTTTTCATTGAACAGATAAATTTTAACTAATTAAACATAAGTAACATTGTGACTACGGACACTATATCGGGGTTTTTAAACTAGCAACATTATGTTTTTGCACGTGGTTTATAATTAAAAACTAAATTTATCAATAGTATTTATATTAGTGGTACTTATAACAAATATACTTTAGTGGTATCATACAAGTGCAGAGTGACAAGTTATAAGACAAGTTAAAAATGAGTGAAAGTAAGACAAAATCGGTTATAATTATCTAGAAATGAATGTGGAATTGTCATTTTACTAAACGTTGATTCCGTACTCAGGATGTGCACATAAACAGATCCTGTATTTAACTTTTTCATCCATAATGTTTACGGGGTTTGTTAACCTCCGTCCATTGTTAAACGGCCGGCGGTATCAAAGGCGAGACGAGTCTTCACTTCACCAACCCGCCTCGGTCGGCAGTCCTGGGGTGGTTCGGAGTACGTGACTCGCCACCGTCCATGGGGATGACACACCGATACAACTATATGGCATGTTGTAAATCAACCAAGTCAATTCACACTTCTGCACGAGTTTGGCCACTCCTAGGGTATTTTTTGGTGATTCTTGTGTTAGTGTTGTGCCGGACGTGGACTGAAGAGGTTCAATTCAGTTAGCCTCTATGTAGTCGCAGTAGTTTCGTTAAACATTAGTTTTTATTAGTATACATGTGCCTCGTGATAGTTTTTTTTTTAAATACGTATCGTTATTAGTTTTTTAAGTTCTGTACAGGATTTTAGTGAACTAGTTGCAATGTGCTTTTAGATATGTCAGGCGGAAGCAAAAAGTGTGCGTTTTTATCATGTACGTCATCTCAACCAAAAGATGGATTGCGATTTTTTAAATTCCCTGTAAGAAATCCGGAAGTATGTGATCGTTGGGTTATCAATTGTGCTAACAGCCAGCTTATAGATTTGCCCCTATCTGCTCTCAGGTCTCGGGTTGTTTGCGAGAAACATTTTGAGCCATTATGCTTCAACAACCCGTCTAAGAGTAGTAAATTGAGAAAAGACGCAGTGCCTACTTTGTTTATTCAAGACACCGAAGTGCATCCAGACCTCGGAGTACACCAAACGGTCGTCAGAACAACCTCAGCCTCAACAACAGCTGATGATCCCGACAGTCAACCGCCGTTATCTTGGATCGACCGACAACGACAGATGCACGTTGGGGCTGGTCCATCATCACTCGCGTTACAGCCTCCACCACAGCTACCTCTGCCTGGACAATCTCCGTTCCTGCCTACGTCACCACCACAGTCATCATCGCCTCTGTCTCAAGAACCCCAGTTCTTGCCTCCACCACCGACATCCCTTGCCAAAAGAATGAAGCTGTGCTCGATGACAGAATCAGCGCCCACAGCCGTTCACACCCCGGTCACAAGAAGTAAGTTGATAAGTCACGCATCTCCAGATACGCCCAGGAAAATAAAACTTAAAAATAGACTATTTAAAAGCAAACGTAAACTTCACCAAATTTCTGAAAAGTCCCGGCGACAAAAGCTAAAACGTATATCAAAACATAAGGCTTATTCTACCGCTTGTGGTTATATATCAAGCGAACCTTTTAAAACTTTACTGAAAATGCAAATGTTGCATACAAGGGGTAAGCAATGGTCAGAAAAGGAGAAGCAGCTTGCTGTAGAACTCCACTACAGATCACCAGCACTATACACCAACTTGATAACCGACAAACAATTTATTTTGCCAAGTCGTCGTACAATATCAAGTTGGGTTAATGTCATCGACCTTATGCCTGGAATTTCCCAAGATCTTATAGATAAAATGAAGTTCAAAGCAACGACCATGAACGACAATGAAAAACAAGTGGTTTTAATATACGACGAAATGGTCATCAAAAAACACCTGACGTTTAATGAAAAGCGTGATTTGGTAGAGGGGTTTGAAGACCTAGGACCCCACGGGCGATCTCCACGCGTCGCAACACATGTACTAATGTTTATGGTACGCGGCATATTCCACAAATGGAAAATGCCCATTGCGTACTACCTGAGTGGAACACCAACTGAAGGTAGTTTGCTGTCAAAGATAATTGTTGACGTGGTTCGAGAGGTGGGCAGAACAGGATTAAATATACGTGCTCTTGTTTGTGACCAGGGAAACAACAATGTGAAAGCTGCAAATCTCCTGGGAGTTAGTAAAGAAAAGCCTTTTTTCTTAAACGAAAATAAACAGATCTTTGTTGTTTATGACCCTCCACATCTGATTAAATCCATTAGGAATAATTTGATGAAAAACAATATACTTTTTGAAAATGGAAGGGCCTCGTGGCAGCACATCAAAGAGCTGTATGAGATAGATTCAGCGTCAACTACTGCTCGTGCACTAGTCAAGCTAACATCAAAGCACATTTCACCAAATGCATTTGATAAAATGAAAGTTAAACTGGCCACACAAATTTTCAGTCGTTCGGTGAAGGCCGCCATGA